GTCCATGTTTCTGCTTTTTTTTCGATCTCTATGAATTATAATTGATAAAACTATTACATCTTAAAAAATTTAATATGAAAATAAATTATATTCACAAAATTGAGCGAGTCACAAAGAACTTATTTTGTAAGACAAATTATCGCAAGGGATAATCTATGCAAAATTGTTGTCAAACAAATGATCCTTACTTTATAAACATTAAACACCAGTGCCAAGACATTAGCCAGTAGCTCGATATAATTTGTAGTGAATTCATCGGCAGTGTCGATTTTATCCCAACGCTTGGGACAGATCAATCTCCATCTTAGCAGCTCGAGCTGAATCGTCGACTCCAAATCGACCATGAATTTGCGCCGCGGAAAACTGTAGCCCAGACTGCTCATTGCCTCGCTCAGCTTCTTGCGCGCTTCGGTAAGTAAACCGCTTTCCAAGAGGCATTTACCTCGAAACATCTGAATTTTTGCGGTGAGATAAAGCAGAAGTATCGATTTCTCTTCGTTGGTCTCGAACATCTATCGTTAAAAATCACCATTAATATACTCTCTTTCTAACATTTACTTTACTATTTCTATTCTGTTATATCCGCCTTGCTTACTTGCTGAAGCAGAGCTTCAGCGTCACTCAAAAGTCTATGAGCTTCAGGTACGTTGTTACTTGCTAAACAAATATCCACAAATTCCAAAATTGCCGTCAAGATTATATCTTGTTTTCCTAAAGAATATAAAACGGTAAAAAAAATATTAAGAATTGATAAATTAAAAAATAAAGAGAGTACGTATAATACTCATTATGCATTCGTCGATACTGATTTATGACTCACCGATTCCTTGACAATGTTCCAACATTTGAGCGTAAACAGTCGTTAAGATAAGATGGCATTGACAGTTGGCGAAGTCAACATTAGAGAAGGTCTTGGTGGGTTTCCTGACTTTTTGAAAGAGATTCACACAAATCGGTGTTCTCCCTGTTACTTGCATATCTTGCGCTATTGTTTTTTTCAAATTATTATAAAATTCTCATATGTTTAAAAAAAATATATATATACACATGTAATTGCAATGCAATTAACATAAAAAAAATCTTCCTTTATTTTAAAGTTGCTGCACGTCTATATAATTGTATGTATAAGCTTAATTGTATGTATAAAGCATTAATATCAAGCTAGATTCAATATTAATTCCAAAGTATACAATACCGTTTTCTTCTTTGAGAGTATAAGTTACTTCTTCAAGCTGATGCATTTCGGCGACAGTTAGTTTCGTTCTTCTACGTTCCTGAAGAACGGCCGTTTTTTTCCCTAACAATCTTACAAATTGTATCTCGCCGCAGGCCATACATCGCTTGGTATGGTGCCGAAGATATTTTAATGCCTTGCTGTGTAATTCCATCTTTTGATTTTCCGTGAGCGATCTTTGCATGTGGATATAAAAATATACAATCGATTTTATTAATTTTAATGTTTAAAGCGTTGTGAGTCTAATAGAAATTTAAATTAATTAAGACATTTAGAATATATATTATATCCTAATTTTTCTATTATTACAATTTATTTTTATCCGAATATCTGTAGCAAAATCATTTATTACCTATAAGTAGTTTCACGGAACATTGACATTTTGAAATGAATCAGACCGCAAGATGCGTATCGCGGCAGGTCGGTTAGTTCGTCTAAATAAATTTTGCCGTTATAGTAAAAATTTTAAACGAGGCGTACATAATTTCATATCTCACATTCGAATGTTGGCTTAACTATTACCTGGTATCATAAGATCCATACATTCGCACGTAATTTCTTCCTCCAAACTAGGTTTCCTTATATTTCTATAAAACACCAGCGGTCTACCGCTCGTAGTAAAATCGCCCCGTGCGCATCCAAAGATTCGAATCTCAAAGAGTTTCTTGATGGCTGCAGTGGCAATAAGTACTTTTTAATGACACACAACAAAATAATTAAGATCGTGGGAGATATTCACTGCGAATATTATAGAGTTACGACAACGTTTGCGCATTTCTCTAGATATGTACCGAGTCCAATTTCCCTCGTAGATTTATCTTCCATTAAGTATTGTAGCATATTTCTATTAATAATTTCTCCCAACACCGACGCGCATTTTAATAATAGTTGGTCCAGTGGTGTTAACGAGTCGAAAATTTTCAAGATCATTACTGGCGACACAACATGCGATAAAATATTGTATGATACAAAAGCACAGAAAAATCGTACAGAGTTACTTCATGTATAAGCTTTAAAAAAAATCTACCGTTTAAACAGAAAAAAATATTTATTTATAAAAATGTACAAACGATCATTAAAAATGGACAGTTAATGAACTAATTAATTAATTAATTAATAATTAATTAACTGCACAAAAACTGTACTACAGTATAAAAATAGTCTTAATTACCGTCCACCGTCACTTCAGCATCTCCCTCTTCTAGTGTGAAGCCTTCTGTAAATTTGTAAACGTCGATAGCTTCATAATCACCATTAATTGGCGTTTCCGGTTCGAGAATGGAACTTTGTAGTCCTACCATACCAGATACTGGACCATTCTGAAGTTAATACAAATGTCTTATATTATTTATTAATTAAATGGAATAATTAATAGAGAGAGAAGAAAATTACTCGATAACTTGTCTTGTACATCTTCCATTTGTCTGAACGGTCCTCTTCATTGCCGTTATTCAAAAAGTCCTCTGAGGCAAGCCTGAACAGTTATTGACCACCGTGTATTTGTAATACCTAACTTTTTGTTAATTATCTCGATCTATTTCAAATGCTTCTGCTTTTCATATAATTTTATTTTACATTGCAATTTTATATTCAAGAGAAGATAGAGACAACGGATATAAATTTGAATGTAGAATTATAAATAAAATTAAGAGACCTTTTCAGCATATAAATGGGAGGGAGCACGTAACCCATTTCTTCGGCAATCATTTTACTGATATGCATTATTACAAGGCTACCAGATTGCGTGAGGCTCAGCAAGTAACTTTCTATCCAACCTGGATTGCCAAAACTTTTTTCTTGAATTAATCTTAAAAGGCAAAATACGGATACACTAAATGTACGCAAAATAGACGCAAAGAAATCTAAATATTTTGTTAATAAAAAAACTATTTGCTTATTCAGAGTGACCAACTTCTCGAGTTCCGGAGGAATTCCGCACGCATCAAGAATCTGACATGCGAGCGCTGCGTGATACCATTTATCTATGCGATTCAATTCGATGACCTATTAATTGACAGAAAATAATTTATAGATTAACGTATGTATATCTCATAATATATCGCAATGTATAAAAATAAATTTAAATAAATAAATTTAAAATTTATACTGCCCATACAAATTTAATGTAATGTTTATCTTTATTTTTTAGTTGCAAAATATTAATTATAAAAAATAAGACAGATTTATTAATGGCTAGAGAGAAATCACTTTAATTATCGTTTTCAATGCTCGTACTCGTGCTCTCTCCAAAATAGCGGGATATATTTCGTACTCGCTGTTGAGCTTGCTCAGTCCGAGGCTGAGGATGAAGAAGACTGTGCTTTGCTTAATCATCGTGTGAAACAATGTCATAGAATCATCGTCACTGTGCTGAATGTCATCGATAATCACCACCCACAGCTCCCTGAAGCAGTTTCTCATTAATTTACGCAGAAACCTGCGTAACATCTTGCTCTTTTGGTTCGCGGATAACTCTGTATAGAGCGGATTCATCATAAAATTCACTTTGAAGGGTTGATTGAGGATGCAAAGAAATTCGGGTTTGTCTACATGGCCTAGTTGTGACATCAGTATCGTTTCGCGCTCGCTAGGAGTGGTGGTGATGTTAAAGCCGAGCGGTATGGAAAATATCATGTGGACCAAACTGTAAGAAGTCTGCGCTAAGAGAAAAATCATTGATTTAAACTCCGTTCAGTTCTCACTCATAATCTTCAATTGAAAAAGATAGAAAATTTTAGATAATTAAGTTAAATAATTATCAATAAATATCTACTTTTTTGAAATAATGATAATTGAATCTGAAATAATAAAATAAGTTTTCAATTTTGTATATTTTTGATATAATTAATTAAATTAAATATAATTAAGAAACAAATTAAAACACCAATATGGTCTAACAATAAGCTGATCTTGGTGCTCGATAATATTATATGTGTGAATCTTACAATTTATCGGTTCAAATAAACCGCGCGCCGCGGTCGAATAATCGTTGAACTTTCAACATAGCTAAAAACTGAAAATATAATATTATCGAACACCAAGATTCATTTGGACCGTATTGGCGTTTTCAGTTTTTTAATTGTATGTAACATTAATGGTCTATCTTGATACTTAATCAAATTAAATATGTTAAAAAAATGTTGAACCTTAGCATCGTTCATGACCAAAGAGATATAATTGCATGATATATCTGTGGGAATATTCTGTGCGAATTCATCCAACAATCTCGTCTTGCCAATTCTCGGCTCGCCTCTAAGAAAGAAAATATTAAAAATTAGATTAGATTAGGTCAAATATTGTAAAAATATTGTATTTATGAATTAAAAATCAAGAATTAAAAATGAAGAAAATTAAAAGTTTCACTGAAAAAGGAATTGGATTTTGCTCACTTTATAATCAGTATATTATGTTCAAGTTCCAAATGTTGCGTCGTCTCATTCGTGGTAAAATGTGCTATCAGATTCGATAGCATCTGTCGAAAAATCTTGATTTCCGCTTCTCGACCGAGCAAAGGATACTTTCTACGTATCAATTCATGCGCAAATCTGCAACCACATGTAAATTCACATGTATGTAATGAGAAATAATATTTTATAAAAATAAACGGCAATTTTTAGAAAATCATAAAAAAATTGCAAAGTACTGTGTCTGTTCTTGAAACTCATAAACAGGACCGACGTTTGTAATTCCTTTCAAATATCTTGGCTCTTGTAATATAAAATGTCTCGCTTCAAGACGAGAGCGCAGGAAGCTCTCTCGATCGCAAACCACCTTAAAGATAAAGATACACTGTGTAGAATAAAAGTGAAATATTTATTATTTTCAATTGCAAATGCGCTGAAATTTAGTGTTAATCTTATTTTCCGATTTAATAACGACATTATTTGTGTAACATGAATAAAAATCAATTATTTTTCTAGAATTGAATTACTTTATTATTGTACGCGACCATTAAACGCGCTGCCTTATTGACTGACATTCCAATCACAGTGTACTCTCTCCGTAAAATATGACCGACCACACCGCAATATGTCATTCCCATGGTAACGGCGATCGTTACGGATTGTACGTTCTTCATCGTTAGAAGACTCTGTCGCACCCTGCTGGCGCATCTCAATCCGATCTGTGATTCCATCATGTGTTTGTCGCCACGCAATCCAAATATGCAGAGAAATATCAGGTCCTTGTCGAAAAGAGACGTCTTGTTTACGCATCCATGCATCTCACAGACTAGGCTGGAAAAATGAAAAATATTGATAACCGTGCATATATAATTATTAATATATGGGTATCGCGAAATTATTACATATGAGTCAATAAAGATTTAAGCATCTAAATTTTTGCTCGTGTGTGTCTTTGGCCCGTTTTTTAATTATATTGTTATTTACAAGAGGTGTGATTTTTTTCATCAATTTAATATATTAATATAGCTAATAAAAGAGTCAAGTGAAAGTATAAATTTGGATATTTACTTGCAGACCAATTTGTATGCCGCGCTGACCAACGAAATTAATTCTTCGTTGTCCATGACTGTCGTGATGACGTTGATGAAGAGTATAACCACTTGCCTCATCTCCGTAAGATGTTCCAATGGCTCGTCCAATTCTACAGATCGTATCACTGGTCTGAGCATGTAGCTTCTCAACGAATCTTTTAATCGCTGTTTAGCTACCTTTATAACTTTGGGCCTCACTACAAAATTAAATATTTGTAATTGTATTTCGCGATCTTATCAATTCGGAGCGACGTGAAAATGAGTATCATAATGCAGCTATTGTACGTTTTCACTCACGACTATAATCGACTTGCTCGAAGTCATGTTCCTTTTGAATTTCACCGGTCCAATTTATTAAGGTACTGTCTTGTACTTTATACGATAAATCGAAGCCCGCTCCGTTATGCTCGGTATTTCTATTATCTATATAGCGATTGCAATGCGTTTTATTACTTAGAATAAGACTCCTTACACTTTTTGCAACAGAAAATCACGCACCAACACCAGTATCATTTTGAATTTCGTGAGGTCTAGAATGGTACCACATTGAGCAGCCTATGATCTGAGTGTGTACGCCGTCCGGTAACTTCTCGTAAACGTACTCGTTAGGATTTGCCCATTGCCAGCTACTAGGCGCCACGATAATATCGCCACCTCTAGATAGAATTTATTGTATCTACATCTATGATATATACATTTGATCTGTTCCTCTCTCATAAAATCAACGAAATGCAATTTTGATGTAATTTAAATTGAAGTAGTGGCGCATTTTTTATTTATCTTCTTGATATCTTTAAATTTACATTTATAATTATAATTTATTATAGAATGGATACGCACATAAACTGATAAATTTTTACATCCCTTTCTTCTCTTTTTTTATTTGTATTTCTAAATTTATACCTACTTGCATGTAAAAAAAATTACAAGTCAAAATGCAAATAGTATCTTGTTTTAATACCGGCATAATCCTTCGGCAAACTTTACATCCCAAACAGGTTTTCCAGTAATAACATAATAGGACATCGTTTTTGGATCGCCAATAGAAGTGAAGTATGTTATCCCGGAAGCGATGGCAAGTTTTACTATCGAAGATATTATTAAATTAACCTTGGTTATCGCGACATTATTAAAAAAATATAAATCTGGCAACTATTATATGTTATAATCTTTGATTTGTAAATTTATTTATGTCGACTTTGGAAAGCGCTAGAATTTAGCACTCTGATTCAAGCGTTTTAATTTAATTTTGATGCAATGGAACCTTTGAGCGTTACGCCGACATCAGTGTTGTACGTTCCAAAATGTTTCTGTATAATGCACGCGGTCTGCATCGCCTCCGTCGCGATATCGCGCATCACCATCCCTTCTTGGAGCTTCCACATTACTATGAACGCGTCGCCGGAGAATTTCACAACGTCCCCATTATGCGAGAGGATCTCCTGCACCATCGCGCCGATATAGCTGTTCAACGTTTCCGATAGCTTGGACGGACCGCCAACGCCGGTTTTCGTGTACTTTTCCGTGAGGTCTGTAAAGCCTGCAATTAAAATCACACGTTATAATTTGCGTTATAATTTGTCATAATGACGATTGTTGTGTGATAATCCAACCAATAGCTCCAATCAGCTCCAACCTGAAACATCGCCGAGCATCAATGTCATTTCATATTCCCTGGTCTCGTAATTGTCATAATGATCGAGGATTTCATCGGGGCACATGGACGCGAATATTTTGGTATGATGCTCCAATCGAGCACGCGAAGATCGATCTAAATTGTAGACTGTCGATGGAACAATCTTTAATTAAATTGATCTATGGTTGGAGATCTTAAATATTAACATTTTTCGTGTTAATTATTTCATCAGGCAAATTGTAAACTTAGCATTAATGTATATCTTCGAAATATATTAATGTATATATTGAACATGAAGCTGGAATGTTTTTTCACGTGAATTTAATATTGATAATCAATTTAGTTTATTTGATTATTTATAATTAAAATCTTGTAAGCTTCTGTTACAATTGATGCATATTTTATATTATTTTGTACATTTTTACAATCTTTAACTCAAAATTAGTATTATAAAAATAATATAATATTTTAATAATAAATTGTAATATAATAAAATGTATACTAGGTTACATTTAATGTAACCTAATTGTAATCAAATTTTTATGCAGTAATTGACTTACCTTCTGTTATTAAAGCATTCTTGTCTTTGAGCGCGTCTTTTAACGTATTCGTCATTCTTTCCTTTCTAATGCAAGTCGTAATCTGGATATTACCACCAAATAACAGTTAGTTAATTATTATTAATTCATATAAACTCGTAGCTAAAATAAAATAAAAACGCTGCTTAAATGTAAGTTTTGGAAGCAAACTTCAGATTCTGAAATAGTTCAAATACGACACCAGAGAGAAGTTTGACAATGATAGTGGACACATCTGCGCGTTAAATAAAACCCATCCACTAGCGCCCTACGTGCACATTGACACTACGTACTAGTCATGTACACGAATTTTTCCAACAGGGAACACACTACGATCGCAGTTTTTGATTCTGTCCCCATCAATAGTGCCTTATTCAAATAATTTTCAAATAATGAGAAATAAAAAAATTGAATAAAATATATATGCTTGTTATAAAATATACAACTTGAGCTGTATATTTATTATTATTATGTATATATATATACATATATATATATGTATATAAGCATGCTTTAATTTTTATTTTTAAAATTTCCACAATAGATTATTTTTAGAAAATAATTTCTCGTAAAAGTAAAATTGCAAAATATCTAGTCAGGCTTATCCTACTTTGATGACGTTAAAAAAATAATGTACAGATGTAAAATATTAAATTTAAACATAGGAATTTCGAGAAAAATATTAAATTTAAACATAGGAATTACGTATTAAATAAATTTTAGAATTAATTATGCATATTATCATAATATACATTTTTATAGTTTATATTACACAGACACGTACATTATATAAATAGCATGAAATCTAATTAAACATTTTCAGGAATGGAAATTGGGGAATCAATAGAATAGATGTTAGTCTTTTCCTCCATGAGATATTTATTTCATTCAATATCGGATTGCTTAGAGGCTTGCAGAAGGGAACGATCAGCATCAACAATAAATACACTCGTCGGACAATAGACAATATGTGTTTATTTAATAGCCTCGCTATATGGATACTTATACGAGTTGTCGCTCTAACAGATCGCCTACAACGTGACGGCCAATTTTTATTGTGCCTGGCCCTACTAGTCCTTATTGTGCTTGAATCTATGATGGGTCGACGTCACCTTGTTCTTTACGTGGTTACTTATTAAATCTTTCCTTGTTTTCTCACACACCGTCGGTTGTCAACTAACGAGGGTGGATTATACTCGCTATTGTAAGACATCGCGTTACACGAAATCGGCTCGTGCAGTCATAGCGATCCGTTGCTACTTGGTCGTCGACGAATCGCCGTAAGCTCTTATTATAAAAACATCAAATTTTCATATTTTTATTTATATTTTTAGTTCTCTGCATTCGTCGCGAAAATAAAAATTATTATTTACTCCTTGTATGTATACGTATGTACGTGTATTGCATGGACATATAAAATTTTCCAATTTATATGTATAATTTCATTTATCTTAAATAAAAGCCGAAATATCTAATATATATTTAAGTGTACATGTCTGATAAATTTTTAAATATCTGAAATATATTGCATTAAATTTTTAGTCAGTTAAATAAAAAAAAATTTCTAAACACTTACTTGTATCATTTAATGTAATAGCAATAATTACAACATCCTGCGAATTTATTAACAGCGACAGACGTGGCGATTATATAGGACTATCGATCATCAAAGGAAGACAATCGTTAGTAACAACATCGATAAATCTTCTACGTAACACGATATAATAACGAAACGACTTAGCGCGCGTAATAAATTATTATTATTAACAGATACTATATATATGTGTGTGTGTATATATATATATATATGTATATATATATATATATATATTTATTTATTTATATATCTTTATATCTATACAGAAAATGTCATCGTAATCGCCGCATCCGTCAAAATAAAGATCAAAAAATCAAGATCATTTACGCAGGATGCAAGAATTTTCTTTTCTCTCGGCGATCACGTCTTGCCATCGCAGAAACGGATCGTTCCGTCGAATTCCATCGTGAATTTCGTTTCGGAGCCTCGTTCCTCGCGTGCAAAGTGTTGCGCACATGCCTACGCGTGTGTTGACGCACATTTCATACGTTTCTTCGTACGTTAATTACGATATTATTACTATATATATCTCATAATGTTCACACACGCGCGCACGATCTGCGCAAGCAGGTACACGCGAGCTCGAGCGAAATCGTGCGCGATATCTGTGGGCTGCCGGGTAGTTACCCCGTCGTCCTTTCCGTATTTCTTCCGTAATTCTCTCGACGCGTTTTCGTTCTCTCTCTCTCTCTTTTTCTCTCTCACCCCGTCGAGCGATATATTTACTCGCGAAATCATATCTTCAAAGCTAAGTCAATATATATATTTAAGTAAAAGGCCCGTAAATTTTCTCCTCCTCGCATTACGTATCAGTTAAAAAATTCTGCGCCACTGCTCGCGATAAAAATTGTCGTTCTCATAATAGTATAGTAAATTGTATAACAAAATACTGCACATTATCAGGAGGGATTTTAGTGTGCGACGTGTGCGAGGACGACGGTGTAATTCCACGATTTCGAAGCGTTTGTAAAATCAAGAAGTTTTTTTTTTTCAGACAGACGAGAACGCGCACAAGTATTTCACAGACATACTATTTTACTTTGTATGCCCTCTAACGTCTTCCTCCTCTTCTTCATCTCTTCTTTTCTCTCTCTCTCTCTCTTTTTTTGTTTCTTTTTGCTTTTTACGACAAACGTGACTCGTTATATAATGGCACACAGCATGGCAGTTGCAACAATGTACTTTAATAAACTGTTACTTTAATTAGCTTATCTCTTAACTTACTTCGGTAAACCTTATATTCCTAGCTTCGTCACACTTTTCATCATAATCCGCCGTTCTCTCCTTCTCTCTCGCTTATGATCGTCATTGACTCTCCTGCCTGGGGGAGCCGGAAATCACCGAAGCGCGAGGAAAAAAAAAAATCATAAAAAAAATAAACGTGAAAGTGGCCTCGCTGATTTCCGGCGAATTTTAAGCGCAACACTCGCTCGAGATATACGCGACGCGTAATTAATTAAGCGTCGCGAGGACTAGGCGAAACAGGATCTATCTCACTCGTATTCTCGTCCCCTCACTCTCCTCCACTTTCTCTCCCTCTCTTTCGCTCTTTCACGCACACTCTCACACACTTTTGACTTATATTCCCCGTTGTCATATTATTATCATTCACTTAGGTATATATAATACACGCGATCGAAAATTGTATTGCGTCGAGATTCTTCATCGAGATTATTAACGATAAACGTTGCATAATAATATATAGTAGTAATCAAAGCGTCTCTCCCTCCCTAGCGCGGTTCCTCTTCGTTAAGACTTGTTATCAATTGTTCATTTAGCGATTAAACACGTAGAAATTGGAGAATAGAAAAGGAGTAGGTTGAAATCACGTCGTACCGTTGTTCAAGCCATGTCGGATGCTGAAGTATTCCTTTCAGAGCATTTAAAAACACTTTATTTTCAATGCAACGCACACAAATTGTCATGAGATTATTATTAACTCTATAAAACAAGAAAGCAGTAATGAAGATTAGAAGCCCCGATATTTGCGAATTGTTGTTCCATCGAATATAATTTCTTTCTTAATTTAACTTATCGTATCGTTTCGATCTTTGTTAAATCTTCAACTATGGATTTTAAATCTTTTTTTTTCAGTTCGAAATAGCATCCAACAAGGATTATACGCGATAACGTCGGTACGACGTTTCTTATAATATTCACATAAAAATCGTATTTCTTTTCTTTTTTTTTTGGTATTTTCTTATCGTGGACACTTAATAGTCACGAGTCAAAAAATAATATCAGGACCGCTTCTCTTTCGCTTTCTTTTACTCGGCCTCTCACTCTCGTCTCATTCTGCAGTCTCGCCTTAGGATCACCATGAGTGCCGTATAAATTGGTGAGGTTCGAGGGGAGGATTTCGATAATAGCCGATCTACTCGTCGTCTTGGATGATTACACGGCGGAAGAGTCTATCATGATGCGCAATTAAGCCTTTGTATCTTCTCGATACTTTTTGAAAAATGATCTTAGGCATTCTTCATTAAGGAGGTATCTAATAATTAAATGTTAATTACTTAATATAATAATTAATAATTTCATTTTTACAAATACGTTCTTTGTTTACAGAAACGATCGAATATTTTTTAAACACAAACGCGGCGTCGCAATTGCGGACGAGAGTCAAGTAAAACAGTGAGCTCGCGGTTAAGTGAAATCGGGCCTAAAGTTTAACAAGTACTTATACTATCCTACTGCAATTATTACGTTTCTAACAACTTAGGCGCGATCTGTTGCGAAATACAATCGCATCCTCCCCCTCGCTCGTTCGCTCACCCAGAACTTCTTTTCACTTCCGTTTCGAACGCGAACGACAAAAATTCTACGACATCGATTTGTATCGAAAGGAGTCCTTGTGGAATGATCGGATAATATGTTACTATTATATATTATATTGTTATATTACGTTAGTAGAATCTAATATGTCAACAAGAAATTCGATCTGATATTTTGTCTGTGTCTGTCGCATTCCCCGTTCGTGCACACATGGCCACACACTCCCTGCGGCTTTAATCTCGCGAAACAGAAAACTGCAAATTATCAAGATCCACATCGAGCTGGGTGACGCGTATCAAAAGAGAGTTGAAACATCGAAAGAGTGACTTGGACTCGATATTCACAATGTTAAGCAAGAGTCGAGAGTTTTAGAAACGACGATTATTGTGTACAAGTGAGATTGTAAAAAGTGAGATAAGTGTCTGAAGTGTTACACGATTTTGTTAAAAAATTCTACTTTGTTTGAAAAAATAATGCTGCCGGTTCTTTAAAAAATCGATTCACCAGGCGCACAACACACTCATGCCACAAACATTCGTTCTGTGTTAACAATTGTGTCAATTAACGATAATATTATTTTTTTTCTGCTTAGCTATATATGACATAACACGATGATATAGGCTTGATATGACGGTGGCACACGTTAACTAATTGTTTCTTCTCATTTCTCTGCCCCCATCCGTCCTTCCTCTCCATCTCACCTTCGATCTCTCGACTCGATCGACGCGAAAGAGATATTTAACGCTACATCCTTCATTTCATTTAGAATCTCGGCAGTAATAATTCTGGCAAATAAATACGAAAATTACAAGTGTAAAACGTTGCAGATAACAGAAATCAGATAACAACAGCTATTGTTCTTATGAAAATTATAGCATCTCAACGATTTGTAATGTTACTAATAAAATTTCGCCGTCTCTTAAATATCTTTATAAAAATAGAATGAGTAATAAGAGAACAGGTTGTATAGACTCTTATTGATTCCAGACAGAGAAAATATTTAGATGGTCCAGGCAATTATCAGTGATTATTGGATTGTCTGTATTTGATTCTTGTGGAAAATTCAAACTTAATGTAAATATAATTCTCGCTTTCACTTCTCACTTTACTTTGTTTACGTGGCTTTGACGACATTAATTTAAGCTATCTCATCTCCGCACGTATATCTACGTATGAGATTGGAGGTCAGAAGTAAGAGAGGAAGCTATTTTCCGTGGCAACGCATGCCGTTATTCTGACAAGTATCGCGATTTTGCACTAATTAAAAATATATTATTAAATTAAGTTAAAATTAAAATAATAATATAACAATATAATATAATATTTAAACGTCAATGTTTTCAATAAAATATTATTAAGTATCATTGTTAACAAATAAAAAGAAAAACAATTATTTTAAATACTAATTCCAAAAAATATTGGTTTAGATAAAAGAGTGATACTCTCCGAATTTCTGAATGCGTTTTACGGTTCGCGATGCTTCGCTCTAACAAATATATCCACGCCGCGCACAATACGCACTTTGATTCCAGCTTACAGTTGTCCTAACGTTTAGATATATTAAAGTCGTGTTAATAAGTCTTTTGGGTTCTAAAGTGGTTCGTAGACATTTCGTCAAGATGCAAAGAGGCGCCGTAGTTAAAACGAATAAACGGGAAATGGGATAAGCCAGCAACGAGAGAAGTGCTGTCGTACCCGTGGAATTCACAGAGGGGCTATCCTCAAATATTAACGATAAAATTTTACACTTTCAACATTTCGCAATTTAATTTAACTCACCGCAATGGCAGACGCGACGACATTAGCGGCGAGCGGCGAGATCGAACGATCAAAGAATGTGCCCATCCGGCAGGATCTCCCTTCGTTGGTCATTTTCGCAAGTACGTTATCGCGTTATAGTTCCCGCAAGAAGCAAGATGCGTATATTTATTACTATAAAAAATGCTGCAACGCACTTCGCCGTGGTACTAGCTTGCGTCGTAAATATCGCATCGCGCGCGTCGCAGCATCTCAGTTCGCTCGCCAGCTTGTCTCCAAAAATGACATTTCAAGCTCTTTTATAACGTCAAGTGTCTTGTCCCGTTCCTAATAATTTTCGACAGTAGCCTGCAACTTGGTATAAGGAGAAAAGGGAGAACGCAATGAAATATCGCATCGCGCGCATTCAAATGCGTTTCTCGTGAGATCTGCGACGGCGTATCTTGTATAAGCTTAACACGTAACAATCGAGAGTCTCGTTTTATTAATTAATTTACGTCGCCGCAAGTTTCTTATATCGCCGATGCTTTCGAAGAAGCACACATTTCACACACAAGTCCATATCTTATTATTATTTAAAATCAACGATCGTGTGATTACATAGAGCGCCGCGTACGTCTTTCCCTTGCGATATTTTATTACGGACTCGTAATCCCCTCGCGCGATATACATAATGCATAATGACCGTGCATTCTCCGACAGGACAGTCTCGAGTAAATGCGAATTTCGTTTAGCGAGATATGCGTGTACACATAATAGATTCCTATTCTACAGTGGTGGTACCTTGGGAACGAATATAGATCTTTAAATATTTTAGGAGCTTCCAAGAAATCGTTCACACGACTTTCGGGACAATTGCAATCGGGTGGAAGAAATAACGTAAATATATTATTTACAAGAGATTTTCTTTAGTGCCTCGGCTACGTTCTCTTGACTTCCCGCGATCTTTCGCGAAGTGCATTTCTAAAGAGCAGAATATTCTGATCGTGCACATTGTGTTAAGTACTTACAGCGGCGTATTCCTTCTGCGTATTCCCACTTTTGCTACTAGCGTGACGATTGCAATAATTTAATTCGACACTCTATAGAGGTGGTACATCTAGAAATATTACTGAATCTTTTTGATTTCTTAAATATGTATTAATTTTCAAAATCACAGACACTGGTTTTAAAACATTGACCGTTTAATTCTGACGATTAATTCTCGTGAAATCAGAATTAAGCAGAAATGGAAAGGATAAAAAAGTAATTTAATAGTAAAGCTAACTTTTCTAATTACGAATGCAGCATGATGTAAATTTTTATACTAATTTCCTTTAATCCATTTACTTTTTTTTCTTTGCAGGACGGCTGGGATTATATAATTTATTCCAATTATAATTTTATTTATATGTCAAGAAACACCGGTATGTACAAATTCATCAAGCTATGTTAAATTCTTTAAGCAAATTAAATTGTAAATGGCCGTAAATAATTAAAAATCTTATTTGTAAATATTTGAATATTTTAAAATATTCGAATTATTTAAAGTATTGATATCTAAAAAAACAAAACTCCAGTTTATGCTAATCATTTCTTACTTCTTTTAATTCTCTGCTAATCTAATTTTTATTTCTTTGCAGCTTCGCTAATTTAATTATACATCTAAAATTAAATATATTAAGGAAATAAATATAAAACATTAGTCTTCTAATCAATCGTTAATTTTTTAATGTCGCACGCCGCGGGCTGCAAAGAACTATATAATAAACAACAATTCGCATATTTTGATACATTGCAATAATAACAAATTATTATGTCTATATAACGACTCAAATATCGCTGATGTCGAAGGGAGAAGAAGATAAACGCTTTTGTAACATTTTTATCAGGATAAAATATTCGAAGCCATCGTATGTTATCCATCGTTATTATATTTCATCCATGGTAAACTATCGAATGCGATCTATTTGGATTACCAGCGGTCCGAAGAAGCTTCTGGCTTTTTGCTCTTGACAACTTCTTTCAAGCACTATATATCACATGGATGAAGAAAAATGCCGATTAATGATGAGAGATGTCGAATAAATGGCGAAGATGATGATGGTGATGAAGATGCGCGATGCGTGATGAGCGGCACAGGCAAGGGTGTTGGCTGTTGCTGTAGTTGCTGATATTGGTGGTGTATTGTAGTTTTGCTGTTGTAGTTGTTGTTTGTTTCGTTTTCTTTTTTCGCTACGTTTCTAAAGATGTTCTATACACTGTCTCTACGTTCGCGGGTGTGTGTGCGTATGAACAACATCGAGATAACGAAGGGACCGATACTCCGAAATACCGTAGGTGGTCTCGAGTACTTATCTGGTATCCTGCTGATGAATCTGCGATTGATTTTCGTCTTTCAAATCGGACACCATCGACGTTCTTGTTCTGCAAAATGTCGCGGCTCTGATTAGCAAAATATTTAATAGTATCGGTTTTAGAAACAGCTAGCGCTTTCATTATTTAATCCGATAATTTTCCTCACATCTCAAAAAATATAATCTTAATAATTAATATTAAAAAAATTATTGATATAAATAAAAATGTACGTCATAATCATGTGCTTCCAAAACATGTTTGAAAGTTGTGTCTTCAGTTATTTTTTGCCAGAAAATAAGCTTAGCGGAGCTTCTAACATGTTAATTATTTATTAATATATTGTACTTGAAAAAATATTATTAGAAACTTACGAATACTTGCAGCTCGTAGTAGCTGATACCGGTGAACTGTCGCCATTTACAGCAACTGATATCGGTGAGTTGATCCTGCTAAAGCGATCGTCAAAGGAATTATTATTGTTATCACTGCCGTCCTCATTGCCGTCGGATATCTTGAATACTTTTTGAAACAATTGTGGTGTTTCCCGTTTGGTATTTAACTTGATACTCTTCTCATCCTGAAAAATGTATCAATATATCAGCGATTTCGTTTTCGTTATTCTATCTAAAAACAAAGAATATTTTTTAATTTCTCAAGTTACCTCTTCCCTCAGTCTATCGAGTAATTTTCTCTTATCGGCTTTTAGTTTCGCCGCCTCATCCACTTGCGTTGGAGTTTTGATGCCTGAATGTTCCAATAAAGCTAAATGCGCATCTTTTTCGGAAAGGGCAGCTTTTAAAGCTTCATGCCTGCAAAAAAAATATTAAAATAAATTGTAAAATATATTATACACACACACGAGCGCGCACAGAGAGAGAGAGAGAGAGAGAGAGAGAGAGAGAGAAAATGCACTATCAAAATCAAACTGTTGACTTGAATGCTAAAAACTCACTTAATTTGATGCAACTCTTGAAGCTGAACAGTCTTCTCCTGATTCTCTTGGGCGAGCTTCTCTTCAGTCCTTTTAAATATTTTATAAAGAACCGGCTTGCACGTGATGCATTTCGTGGCTGAAGCAGCTTGTATGACTGCAATTTTCTCCTCCATCTCGACAATCTGATAAACGAATAAAAATTGTTTCAAGAGACATTCTATAATTGTATCATTTTTCAATTAGTTTTCAAGTAAGACAAGCTTAATATATTGCAAAGGTTTCCAACTCACTCTTTGGTCAGCTTCTTTTCTGAGCTTCTTCTCGTACTTGAACTTCGTTTCAAGCTCGTCCGTGATTGCGATGCTCTGGCGAAGAGCCGCGTCCAACTCCTCTAATTTGCGCTCTTTATCCGCGAGACTCTTCTTCAATTGAAGCTCTAACTCCTCCTTTTCCTTCAGAGTGGCGATGAGTTCCTCGATCGCGACGTCAATTCTCTCGCCGAGCGAAGTCTCCAAAGAATTGACCTCCATTTCTAGCTCCTGCACCCTCTCGTTTCTCAATCGAATTTCTTCCTTCAGCGCGCTAACGTCCTCCGTCTCGTATAATTCTTCTTCCAGTTCCGCCATCTCCTTCTCCATTTTCAGAATCTTATTCTGCTGCTCGATAATCTGCTGTTCGTATCTTTGAATTCTGTTATCCTTTTCCGAAATGTCGTGTCCCATTTCCTTCATCTTTTGCTCTTTTTCTCGCAGTTCTATTTCCAGGCTCTTCTCCTGCTCGCACTCTTGAATTCTATCAGTCTCCTCCAAAATAGCGCGCGTTACGTCCTTTGTCTTTTGTTCTGTTTCTTCCAGCTCGCAAGCTACTCCATTATCGGGTAAGATCGGGTTTTCCTTCGGCATGTTTCTGACTAAAAAACAATATAGGAACAATGATGTAATTGTAAAAATTATAAAAAAAAAGAACACAGCAATTTCAGTAAAGCTCTCATTTACCTGGTTTATTTTCTGCGAATTTTGACAGCTTTTTCAGCCCAGATACTTGATTCTCTAGCTGAACAATTCTGCATTCTCGATCCTGCAATTTTCGCTTAAGACCGTCGATGTCATGCTTTTTGACGTAATCTTCCAGATTTGTAACCATCTCCTCCAGCTCTATAATTCTTGCTTTATCGATCCCCGCGTTCGTGAGGTTGTTCTTCTGAATCCACTTTTCCATTTTCATAATACACTCCTTGTCGAGCGATACCTGGTAACGCAGATCACGCATCTCCTTCACGTCCTCCTTAAGGAAGTCCTCGAGCTCCTCCACGGCATCCTCCAATTCTATGATCCGTTTGGATTTCCTGTCGATCCTTTTTTCGAGATCGCGCATTCTCTGCGCATCCACGTTCTTCCGCAGGAGGCTTTCCAACGAAGCTATTTTCTGCTCCAGCTCGACGATGCGCTCATTCTTCGCCTCGATCTCCTGCTTCCAGGACTCCTCCACTTTTCCGTTCGTCTTCTCATCGTTGTTATCCTTCTCTGAGAATTCCGTTGTGCTCGCGTGATTCTTCAAGGAGTTCTTCAAGGCTGTCGCTTGTCGCTCCAGCGCGAGGATATGCCGATCTTTTGCGTTCGAACTACAACAATTTTTACACGCCTTCGATTGCGTTTCGATTTTCTCGCTCGATATCTTGTCGTGCCCACTGACGTCGTCCTTTAGGCCCTCGCAGCGTTTCAATTGCTGCTCCAGCTGGACGATGTGTTGATTCATCGTCTCCGTCTCCTCCTTCCAAGACTCAATGTGTTTCGCGTCACTCAACAGATCCTTACACTTGTCGTGCTCCATCTGGAGATTCCCCAACGTTCTTTCCAGCTCGAATATGGCACGGTTCCTCGCTTCCAGTACTTGTCGCCAAGACGACTCGTCCTTGTTATCCTGGGACTAGCGTGCGGTATGCGTGCCGAAGCGACGTTCGTTGGCAAAGTGGTAAAATGTACGGCGATAACGAAAACAAAGGTGGAAGCACACAGGAGGAAACAGAGAAAGGTGACTGTATATGTATGTGTGTCATGTATGTGCATTTTTTTATTTGTATATGTGTGCATCGATCGATGCGAAGGACGCAAAGGTGTGCGTCTTCAAGTAATGCGAGACATCATCCTCAATCTTCATTATTCTCTCTTATATATCTCGATATATCGAAATTATCGTCCGTTAAATTATCTCTTCGCAATTCTTTGTTGCCTTCTTCTTTTCCTTCGCGTCTGCCGTTCGCCGTCCGATTTTCCCTCGCTTTTTCTTTTTCTCCTTCTTTTCTTTCTTTCTCCCAATTTAAACTCGTATTTAAATTTATATTTACGTGTGTGCATACATATATACATCTACATATACGTATATCTTTCGCGGTCGTGTGAGTAATAATATGTATATACAGATGGATGCGCGTGTATTTGTATCTCTTGTGTGTACGCCGGTATGTAGGTATGTATATTTATATATATATATTTATACTTCGGTTTCTTCTCAGTAGTAATAATTAATTAACATTATTGTTTTGCCGTTGTCGTTTTGTCTCGCGTCGTCGCGTTAATATGTATTTATAAGTTTATCCTCTGCGTTTAAATTTATATTTATATTTATAGTTTTATCTTCAATATTTATATATTCTCAATATTTTTTTGTATTTATATATCAAGTTATTGTTGTGTTATTATCGTTATTATCCCTCCGCTATAATTATTAAATACGTTAACAATGGTCGCAGCGTTTTTACGTAAAATAATTATATGTCTCGACATGGGCTTTGTCCATTGGCGGATCGACATCAATCCTTCGTTTAAGTCCCTCGTGTATACGTCTATACTCATAAAGTCTCGCTTATAATATGCAAATTGTACTAAAAAGAACGGAGAAGGCGTCCCCAACGAAAATCGACCTTAGAACAAGCTTTTTAGGAATCCGGCGGGTCCCGCCTGTTAGCAACGTTTCGAGGAAAAAAGTTTGTAATATTTTTATTTTATTGTGTTTGTGTAATTGTCATCGAAAAGTCAAAAGGAAATACGTACAGGGGATAAGCAATGGATACGTGAAGCATATGTGAATGTCGTGTATACATCCGAAAGCAGCATGGAAAATGTCAAAAGATAAATAGTTAGTAGGTTGATTGGATAGAAGAATATGTTAATATAAATAAATTAATTTATGTTCTTTCTATTATCAATATATAACAAGTAAATGTAAGATACTGACCTCTTGCTGTGCAGTTGTAGCTTGTTTCAACTTGGCTTGTGCGGTTTTGAGTGCACTGCGATAAAAAAATCGAATGCATTAGTAATGGAAATTGGAATAAAAAATCATTCTAAATTATTTCTTTCAATTATTTCTCAAACTATACGCATATACATAATCATAAATATTAATAAGAAGTTCATATTATTGAGAAACTTTTATATCTCCTGTATAATTGTTTTGTTGTAACACATGTTTTAAAAGATCACGATCCCTCTACACATAATTTATTTCATGCCATGTTATGCATATTCTTAACAAAAAGAATATCATAAAATTCTAATAAAGAATTACTGTTTTACATCTTCACAATATATCATAAAGTTAAAGGAATAAAAAGAATCGGTATTTGATAAGAAGTAATTAATTCAGGTGTATATGCGTTATATTTGAAATAAAACTCACTCTTGAAGATCTCTAATCTGTTTCTCCTTAGAGTTTTGCTCCTCTTGTGTCATCTGCACGAGCTGCAATAGCCTCTCGGTCTCGGCGGCGCTCCTGCCCGATTCCTCCTTCGCCTTTTCCAATTCCTTCTCGGCAGTCTCGAGCGCCTTTTGCATTTCCGCTAATCTCTTGTCCGGCGCTCCACCACTCTGAATAAATTGAATCATATAAATTTAATTTAAAAAATACCATAAGAATTTATTTGTGTTTAAGAGCTAGATTTAATAAGATTATAGACATAAATGTTATTATTAATAATATTAATAATTACTAATATAAAGTATATATTATAATTTAAAAATGGAAATTAAGTATAAGAAAATTTTCTCAAATCTGATATAAAAACTTTCGCTCTTGTCATTTGACTTCCACTTTTCAATTAATAACAAACTGTATAATATGGTGATTATAAATATTCGTAATAACTATATGTACTAACTAAAATTATAATGTAATTTAAAAACCGCTTTAACAAACAATGCAATTACCTTTTGTAACTGTTGCTCCAGTTGGTCCATTCTCGCCTTTCTCTTCTTCAAGTCTTGGTCGAGATTTTGGAGCGTCCTCTCCTTTTCTTCCGTCGTCCTAGCTTTCTGATCTACGGCCTTCGCTCGTTCGTCCATTTGTCTTCTCTGCTCGTCCAATTGTCGTCTCTGTTCCTCGATCTGTTTCCTCTCTTGAATAGTGTCGGCGCCAGCTTTCGCGGCGCCAGCTTGGAGTTTCTTGTTCGCCTCGTGCAAGTCCACCTGCATTTAGGAAGGAATCGATTGTAGCGCACCTCTGGTACTTTCGTCGCATGCACGATTTATTATTTTTTCTTTTCCTGGATTAGCCAGAAAATCAACTGCGAGACAAAGAGAAAAAGAGAAGCTGATGTGCCATAAGAGCTATGATAATGACCATTCCAAAAACCAATGCAAAACCGACGACCATCTACTTGCGCTTTGGCTTAACGTGCTCTGTTATAATTTGTTTTACGTGTGAACCTCAGTTTCCAAAGTGCAATTAGATTAGTAAGGCTACACACTAACTCTCGGTCTTCTCGTTTTTTACAAATGATGAAAATCGATTGATACATTTTTATTTCTTCTACAATAGATTTGTATCTCAGATTGCTGGGCGTAAGAGCCAATCTACATAAGTCGCAAACGCAAAACGCATACGCAAACGCGGAGAAAAAAAGAGAAAAGAAAGAGAGAAACGTCCGCGTTTGCGTTTGCGTTTTGCGTTTGCGACTTATGCAGATGGGGCTTAAAGTAAATTTTGCGGGAAAATTGAGAGCTGCGTTTTGCCGACCAACTGATTAATGTGACAAAATCATGAATGCATGATAGATGAATAATAATAACAATAATAATAATAATAAAACGAATCGGACGCGACATCACACAAACACTCCTCCATATCTAATTATTACAGTGAGATATGTATATACATACAGAGAGATATATTAATTATAATAAAAAACGTGGCGAGTATAAAACAACAGTATATATCTACAATAAGAGATATATGTACATGAACAAACGTCCGAGGTGTGCACCAATCAGAGAGAGGAGGATATCGTTTCTTCAAGAATTCTTTGTGATATTTCGATAAAGGCATGTACGCCCCCGTGTGTAATTTTTAAGCAGAAAATACATTTAGCAGATCTACATTTCAGAAATCAGAGAATTCTCGTGATTTATTTAAATCACGGAGATATGAAGCGGTACTTCCTCATCTCATCGATGCAGTGCATGCTTTCCAACATAAATGTTTTCACGATTATTCTTTGCTGCCACGTTTAATACGTGACATAAGCGCAGCCGTAATAATAATATGACTAAATATAGTAATAATAATCGGGAAAGAGAGAAAGAGAAAGAGAGCGAGCAAGCGCGCTATAATCAAACATTTTTTTTTTTTTTTCATTGACTCATTTCTCATTTTATTTCCGTTATCTGTATGTGTATTATTCGTTCTTTATTTTTTTGCACTCGCTCTCTTTATCGCATAACAATAATAATTTCAGTGCCACTGGGCAACTAAAAATACAACAACGAGAATAATAATGATAATAATAAAAATGCTGATAATAACAATAATAATAACAAGAAGAAGAAGAATAACAGTAACAATACGATAAGAAACAACAAAGACAATAATCATAACAATAAAAACTTTAAACATATTCTGATAGCAATGAGTGACAAATGGTGATGCTTGGAAATATTGTCGGGAAGAAAGGAATTAAGGAAGGAAAGATCGTCGTTGGAGTAACGATCTTCTGTCGAAGGGACGTAGCACTGTGCTGCGAATATCTGCTTGCGCACAGGTAGAACGCAAGATAAGTAAAATGTGCGCGCGTGAATGGTGCAGCGTGTCTGGTAAGTCCCGAATCACGCATATATACACATATATACATATATATTTGTTCATTACATATATAAATTTTTTTTTCTGGCGGCGTGTGTAAAAGTCTGTTGGGCGAGTCTGTCTTCGGAGAAGAAGAGAAGGAAGAAGAAGAAGAAGAAGAAGAGACGAGATTTATCATTCTGCTTTTTCGACACAATGATCAATTCGATTGCACATCAAGGGATGATATTTTTTTTTTACAGAGTGCGGGCAGAGTGCGCGGGATAGTAGTGATAGTGGTGGTGACAGTTGGAGATAGTGATGGTGCTTATGGTGATGATTGGTGGTGTGAATGCTGGATTGTGAACTGTCAGCAGCGCGAGCGAGCACGGTGTGAGGCCAACACGTGCGTCGGCACCGTCGCCGCTGCGGCCGCTAACCTGATTCTTCTCCAGTTCCTGGCACAGCATCTCGAGCTGCGCCTGGAACCGCTCGCGCTCCACGGTCGCCTGCTTAATCTCCTCGTGCGCGCGTTCCAGCTCCTTTCTCAGCCTGGCGACCTCCTGTCCGTTCTGCTGTACGGGCTGCTGCTGCTGCTGCTGCTGCAACTGTTGTTGCTGTTGCTGCATGGTGGCCTGCATCTGTTGGATCTGCTGTTGATGCGCGTGCAGTTGCCGTTCCGTCGTCTGTATCCGCTTCTGCAGGTCGCCGGCCTCGCGCTCGGCAGTGTCCGCCCGCTGCCGCTCCGTCTCGCACAGTTTCCGCCACTGCTCAAGCTGAGCCGCGTCGGATTGGGCGGTCTCGGTGCCGCGTGACGCCAGCTGCTTCTGCAGCTCCTGCACCCGCTTCTCCGCCTGCTCGGCGCGCTGTCGCTCCTTCTGCTGCGTCTGCTGCAAGTTCTGTACCTGCTGCTGCAGCCGTTGCACCTCGCGCATTTGCGCGTCAAGCGCCTCCTTGGCAGCGCGATCGGGTGTCTGCGCGTGGGCCCGCTGTTGGAGACGGCGGGCCTCCTCGCGCTGACGCTCGAGCTCGGCCTCGTTCGCGCTAAGCTCCTGCTGGAAGTTGACCAGCATTTCCTGCGACTTCTCCAGCTGTATAACCAGCTGATCGCGCTCCACCTGTAACTGCTTCGAATCTGCCTCCAACTTCTCCTTCATCTTTTCCGAGTGCTTTTCCCGGTTCTCCAGAATCGCTGCCATCTTGTCGCGTTCGCGTTGCGCCAGCTGCAGCTCGTACTGCATTCGGGCAAGTTCCTCGTTGCCGGCAAGCTGCTGCTGTTGCTGCTGCTGCTGCTGTTGCTGTTGCACGCGACGCAGCTCCTGGCGCATCGCATCGCGTTCGTCCCGCAGTAGCTGCACATCTGCGGCGAGACGCTCGAGCTCCTTCTTAGTGGCCTCGGTAGCTTCCTGATATTTGGAGGTCTGCAGATGCGCTTTCTCCAGTTCCTTCGCGAGCCTGCCGGCCTCAAGTTCGACCTGATCACGCGCCACGATCGCCTTGTCCAGGCTAGCTCGTAGACGCTCTACCTCAATACTCGCGCTCTCGGATCTCGTCTTACCCTCGGTCTGCATCAGTCGTTCCAGCCGCACAATCTCGACGCGCAACTTCTCGTTGTCCGCTTCGAGCGCGTCAGCCCGCATCTTCACCTTGTCGTGCCGATCTCGTATCTTCTCGGCCTCTATTCGCGCACGCTCGATTTCCGAACGATTGCGTTCGTGCTGCGCCGTAGCCTTGCCGGTGTCATCGCGCGCCCGCTCGAGCTGAAGCTGCGCCTCATGCAGCTTCGCCTCGAGCTCGGCGTGGTTCGACTGCGTCCTCTTCAGCTCTGTTTCGCGGCCTTCCAACCGCTCGCGTAGCTTTTCCACCTCCTGCTGTAGCCTACTACCCTCGCTCTGCCACTTCTCTTGCTCGTACTGGTATTTACCTCGCACGCCTTCCGCACGCTCCAGATCGGCGCGCAGCCTCGAGGCGTCCTGCTCAGCTTTCCGCGCGCGTTCGAGTTCTGCCTGCGCCTTCTCCAGACGGTCGCGTAGCCGCTCCACCTCCAGCTTCGCCCACTCGTGCTCCTCCTTGTGTCGCTCCTGGCTCTCCTGGTACTTGCCGAAACGTGTTGCATACCTCTCGGCCTCCTCGCGCGCGCTCTCCGCCTCAGTGCGCAGTCGTTCCGCCTCGCCCTGCGCCTTCCTCACCTCCGCCTGCTGACGATCGTGCTTCTCGTACATCTTCTCGATCTCGAGCTGCATACGCGCGAGCTCCTCCTGCGTCTTCTCCGTCGCCGCCTGCGCCTTGTTGAGCTGGGAATGCGCGCGCTCCAGCTCGAAGCTGATGCGCTCGTTGTCGGCCACCAGCTTCTCGCGCTCGTTCTGCAATCGTCGCAGCTCGATCTGCGACTTCTCGTAGCGCTCGCGCACCATCTCTAGATCGACGCTCAGCCGATCGATGTTCTCCTTTGATTTCTCCTCGTGCTCTTTCGTGCGACCGAGCTGCAGCGCTGCGCGATCATACATTTCCTGCACCCGAGCCAATTCCTCCTGTGCCTTACGCGATTCCTCGCGTGACTTGGTCGCCAACATCTGCTGCTTCTCCGTCTCCAACTCGAGCCGGTCCTTGTCCGCCTCCATAACATCAAGGCGGTTCTGCAGACGGTACACCTCGCTCTGTGACCTGTCATCGTAAAATATTTAGTCTCTGATCTTCACTATAATTTGCCTATATAAATATTTTGCACAAATTTTGTTGGCGATGCTTAAAGTTAAGACTGTTTTATATATTTGTATTCCATGTGCTGTAATAAATAAACTATCAAGTCACATATAAATTGATACACTCGAAACAATTAAATCTTTCCAATTTAAACGTCCGGCCAGCATTACCTATCATATTTTTCCAACATCTTTTCGAATTCCTTGGTGGCGTTCTCTCGCTCCTCCTGAGCCTTGTTCATAGTATACTGTGCCTTCTCCAGTTTCTCCTTTAAGATCTGGATTTCGGTCAACGCGTCGTCTCGTTCCAACTGTTTCATCGCAATTCCAAAAAATAACAAAGAAAAGAAAACTTTAATTTTTTTATCATTTTCATGTAGAATAACATCAGCTAAAGTAGAACGTTTTATTACATAAGAATTATTTTTAAATAGTATTTTAAAACTTACATTAAAGATTAAGAAATTATTCTAAGAAACTATTCATTACCGCTGAGGAGCTAACTCACCGTTAATTTCTGATGAGTATTGTGCGCCTTCTCCCATCTCTCCTTGACCAAGTCGAGTTCTGAGAGTACATTCTCCTTTTCGCGTTGCATCTTGGCTATTTGATTTTGCTGGAATTCTATCCTCTCGTGCATCTTCTCCATCTCTTCCTGGAAGCTATCTCGTTCCTTCTGCAGTCGTTGCATTATGACCTGATGAGCAATCATAACGCAAGATTATCGAATCATCATTAAATTTTAATCTCAGTTGATTTTATATTCGCGCTCACCTGAGCTTTCTCATACTTGTCCTGCAGTCGATCCACATCAAGCTGAATCGCCTCGCGCTCCTTCTGCATTCTCGTTGACTGTCCTAACGCTTTGTCAAGCTGGCTCTGCAGATTATCGAAGTCGTAGTTCTGCTTTTCTTTTTCCATTTGCATCTGCACAAATAATTTAAATTAAATAATTTCAGGCTTAAAATACATACGTCTTGAAAAGAATTAAGATATTTATAACAATAAATTGTGTCCATATAACACTTTTGATTCTCTCGAGATTACTCACTCTACGAACTTCCGTCTGCGTTTTATCGAGCTTCTCCTGCAGCTTGTCGACCTCGCTCTGCGTCTTGTCCAACAGATTCTGCAGCTTGTCCTGCTGAAGTTGCGCCTTGCCGAGGGTGGCCTGCGTGCGTTCAAGCTCCTCTTGCGATTTCTCGAGCTCGCTGACCGCCTTGTCCCTCTCAGAGTGAAGACGGGCCACGGACGCCTGTGCCCGATCGTACTCTTCCCGCAGGCTCTCCTGTTCGCCTTGAGCATTTTCGAGCCTGGCCTTGAGCCTGTACACCTCGCCTTGACTCTTCTCCACCTTGGAAAGAAAAATATTTCGCTAATGCCTAAATCTAGTAATTAATTTTGAATTATAAAGTACGCTTCTCTGCAGTTAATCGAACATACTGCAATTATCATTTCTTTCATTTATAAATTATAAATTCTTGTTTCTTTAAAAAATCCTTAAAAATATCATAAGTATATAATAAAACTCGCATGAGTAAAAGCTGCAATTTTGTAATGCTGAATTATAGACATATATTTATGGGAATAATGAAAGTTTATGCATACTGTCAACATCGCCGAGGAAACGCTTTCTTCACGTGTACGCTCTTTACAGGATAAACTCCTCAATTACAGAGACATTACTTGTAACACGAGACCGAACATTAACGCGACTTTCCGCGCTAAAAAAGATTTATTCGTGCTCCCACGGTCCTTTATTTTCTGTCATTAACTTGTCTCCGCGCGGAGCAAGCTCAAAGTTGCCGGCGATCCGGGCAAATGCGAACTTAAGCACACCGTTTAGCCGCGTTCCTTCCAGAAACGGACGATATGGTAATGCGCGCGAGCAATTTTCCAGTCACTTAGGTAGCGGGATCGTTACTTTGCTGCCGGTTACAGACGCCGGGTGTAGGACGGAGGCGTGATTGGAAATTGGATCCTATTGCACGGGCAAAGATGTTGGCGGCACAGCGGGAAAACGAGGGCAGAGATGAGAGGACGAAGGAGAAGAGGGTTTAGAGAAGAAGCGGGGGACAGGGACGAAGAAGAGAGTACCTTCCAGGTGGATGCTGAGAACGTGCGATTAAAATCGATTGTTCGCGAAGATACGCAAGCGATTCGAGGACGATCCTCGGAAAGTGCTCGTCGAAATGGAACTGCGGAGACGCGGTCCGAAAAGGACTTTCAGCCGTCCATTAATAGATCGCCGAGTGGCGACGTGTGTATACGGTTCGTGTGCTCCAGCAAAGTAGTCCAGGTTACTTCTGTGCCAATCAATCGATAGCACTGTAATTTGATGTATAAATAACGCTCCCGCTAGGGAGAAACGCCGAAGAAGACGAGATATTTTAAGTCGTCGCGAGATCGAAAGCTCCGCATTGGAGTTTCATCTCCTTCGTGATTTAGGGCAAGCGATACTTTCACAGTTCTTTAAATAACGATTCTGAGTTTGTATCACTCTGCTAATGCGCAGGATAAATAATGTTAAAATGTAATAAAGTAACTTCGGTCTCGAAGTTATGGAATATAGTTAACAAACCGTGACAGATCGAACTCGTTTTTGCGAATTAAAAAAAATTGAATTTTTAATTGAGAAATGATATTTCAAAAATTTATTGTAATTTAACATTAACGTTCATGTCGTGTTGAAAACAACGAGGAAATAAGAAAGATTTACCTTCTCTTGGAGGGACGCGGCCTCGGCACGTGCCCTCTCATTGTCCGCTTGCGTGACCCTCAGCTCGGCCTGGGCCCTCCTCAACTCTCCGGCCGTCTTGTCGGCCCGTTCCTGAACGCGCTCCATCTCCTGAGACGAGTTCAGCGTGCTTCTGCCGTAGCCCTGCGACCGCTCCATGTCGTGCCGCAGTCTTTCGTTCTCCAGTTCCAGCCTGGCTAGCCGCTGCTTCGCCGCCTCCCAGTCGGCGCCGCTACGTCCGACCTCGGAGGCGGCCTTGTCCAGCTCAGCCTTGCTCTTGCCGAGCTCGGATTGCGAGCTCTCGAGCTTCGCCTCCAGCCGGTCTTTCTCCGCCTGCGCTCGCTCCAAACGTGCGCCCAATTTCTCGACCTGGCGATTCGTACGTGAAAAAGAAGGCGATGTAAAAGTGTTTGCTAATGCTTTATAGTTGTATCATAATCTTGTTATTTAGAGTTCCTCCTTTTACGAAAAGACATTTAAATAAAAGAATTCATTGTTCATTTTACATTAACGCGCGGATAGGGGATGAGAAAGTAAAGTAGAGATTTTTCCCATCTAGCCTTACTTACCTCGGACTCCAATGTATGTAGCTTCATTTTGTATTCGGCGATCTCCCTCTCGTGCAATTCCCTCTCCTCCTGTTTCTCCTGCTCGGCCCGGTCCCTTTGCTCGCGTAATTGTGCCATTTGCTTCTCTTTATCCCCAATCGCCTCCTCGAGACTACTAAGTGCACCTTCGCTACTGCAATGATGCGCCTGCATCGCCGTCAGCCTGGCTCTGGCCATGTCGACCTGATTGTCTTTCTCTTTCAGCAGGTCCTCCAAATTCTCGATCTAAAGTCAACAGCAGACTCAGCCATAATTTCAAAAGGGAAGGACGTTGATTTATTCATCAGTCAATTTGTTAGTACAGAAACAAGCAAGAATATTAATTTTATTTTTGTTAAAAACAATCCTTCGATATCTGTTCGATAATTCAGGAGATCTTTAATTCGATCCTAAGACCGATTACGATACTTTCGGTGATACAGAAAATTTTACTTCACATTAAATATCGTGTTAAATATGTAGTATAGTTTGCTAAATTATTACATATTTCGTAAACAGTTGAAGGGAAAGGAAGGCATGGAAAGATAAATTAAAGCACAGAGATTACGTTACATTTAGGAAATTAAATTCAAAACGACCTCCATGCAATCTTCACGCGAATCATAAATTCGGCGTGTTCGTAATCAGACATCGTTAATGAAATCCCACGAGATATCAATGTGGGATAGTTAATTAACGTAAATTCACGTGATTCACCTACCTGCCAACGCACTTTCGTAGATCTTCTTTTACTCACATAATCATACTCAGACATCATCGTCACGACAGGCACGCTAATGTAAAAATAAATACGGTGCTTGTGTCAAAGCAAATAATAGAGTCTATGAATAGCATAACATAACGTAAATATGACGCCTAATAATGGGCACAGGCAATAATCAAATTAAATATTTAAATTAAGTACAAATTATACTAAAACACAAATAAATATAATATTACATAAATTAGACGATAGCACGTATACATAATAAGATAATCAACATACAATTATCTATTAAACAAATGATAATTAAAATTAAGAGTGGGGCATTTTCTATATTTTACAAAATAATACGTTTTTCTGTACATAATGTAAACATAATCAATACATAATAACAAAGAAATTAACAACATTAACTTGATATTCACAGGCGCACTCATCAATTACAGAAATGGTGGACGAAAATAATGCAAATTTATACGAAGACGCAGGGATAAATTTGTCTCCTTGTTTTCTTACAGATCTTACATCTAGCAAACGATTGCAAGAGAGGAAAGAGTCTACGCGTAAGAATCGACTGCACGGTGCAACGGTGATGAAAAATACGGCAGAGACATAATCACAATCCTGCGAACGACACTTTATAGCCCGTGGAACATAACGTAAAAGGAGACGTGAAAATAAGAAATGTGTGGTGGAAAACGCTGCGGGCGCAAACACAGTGCAAACTCAACGTAACGTAACCCTTTGTAAACTGCATTTGCGTCCGCGACTACTGTACATGAACTAGCAAACGCAAAAACATTCTAAGAAACGTCACAAAGGCAAGTGTGTACGCGCGCGCACACATAAACACACAACACACACACACACACACACACACACACACACACACATATATATATATATATATATATATATATATATACACACACATTATATGTCGTTCTAATCGACAACCGAACCACTGACACTCATGCGCATTCTCTCTTTCTCGCGTTAAAACATCACGGGGGATGCAACGACACGTCGACTGCATCGGCTCAGTTTTTTTTCAGCCGCTGTGACAATTAGTGCTCGGTACTTTGTGCGAGTACGCGATGCGCGGCTCTAATCCTAGAGGATCTCGCATCTATCCCGTCGAACGTGATGAGGAAAGGGAAGACCTTTGTCGTGTCCACGAAGTTGATGAAGCGGTAATCAAAGGCTAAGATACCGTCAAAGCACGCTCAAAATCACCGTCGCGGACAAAGAGCCGGCAGATAACTGCAGCGCATTTTTATCATGGCGTTTTATCGCAGGTGTTATTTTTTTCTTTTTCTTTTTTTATACGAGAATCTTACGAAAATTGTAGACTGTCGAGGAGACGACTCGAATTTTCCTTTCTCACGCACGATTAATGCCATTCCCTTTTACTTTGTGCAATATTTACGCAGATTGTGCCCAATTAAGTGCAAATATATAGTACATGCCGTCCAAATCGGCACCTTCGGCGTCGTCGAGAACGGACGGCAAAGAATTTATTCCGCGACGGGACAATCGGAATTCTCGCCTTAGGATTACAACCGTCACACGTGCGATCGATACCGATACCCGAGTTTTCACGTTTCGCAGTGTCGGCACGTACGTCACCCCCTCGTGGGATCATCTCTTGGAATTTTCTCAAAGAGCCGATTGCACGAGTCGATTGATTGGATTTCGTACTCGTACTTATGCGCGTGTGTGGGAGGCTGTGTGAATCGCGGGGTGTATCATTCGACCCTCCCGTTGATTCAATCCTTTTGCCCCGCATTATTAGCATACATTAAAATAGACATCGCTCTGCCAATAAAAAGTATCAATGTGTTTATTAACTGTATCTTATAATTTTACATGTCATTTAACTCTATATGATCTCATTCATTTCTCAATATAAGTTTGTGTTGGAACGAAAGAATTTATCAACGTATTACCATACGACATTTTTACGTGTCACTCATAAATTTCGTTTCTTCTAAAGGATGATATCGTATCTACTATACGAGAGCACGTTGCAAGCATAATAAGATTTCTATTGTTTCAAGGAAGATAATAAAGAAGAAAGATACACATGACATTGAAAAGCTTCTTTTCGTGGCTGCTGCAACACTTTCCCTTAAAATGACGAACGATTAATTTCGCCAGGACAATCTTTGTAAATATTTTCCTCAGCGCTGACTTCGCGCGATAAGGGCATTTTGCCGGACTCGTCCGCTTTCGCATTTGCATCTCTCTCCTCCAGACGGAGGGCTAAGCGCCGCGGCGCGCGCGATAAGGAAATTCATTTCGCGGAAGTTATCTGCTTCGAACCGAGCAATCTTCTCGCATAATATACTCGCCGCCCATTTCCGAGTTATGAATCGCAATGAGACGATTCTTATACGCGACGAGGTACGAGGCGGCTCTTGACGAATGCGAAACGTTACGAGTCCGCGCGAAAATGGCTAAAGTGGAAAATAGGCGAAAGCATTTGAGAATAGATGATGATGGGAAGGAACACTAAGCGCCTTTGACGACTGCGCCTCGAGGAAGGAAATCGCCTCGGTGATGGGAAAACTGAAAGCGGAATGAATAAAGTAAAAGATAGGACTCTCACCTTGCGCTGCAGAACGTTGATCTTGCGATCCTTGATGTCCATGTGATCCTTGATTTCGGTCAGCTCGGTGTTCATGCGATTGCGCTCCTGTTGCGCCTGCATCGCCGCCTGCGTCTTCTTCTCGATCATCCGGTTCTTCTCCTCGAGCCGCTGCCGCATCTCCTCGACCTGCACATTTCCGAGCGGAGCGGGCGGTAAAAATGAGATGTCGCCGAGGATCAGCCGACGAGAGAAACCTCCAAGGGTCCAAAATTCGGAATATTTTAGCGCGCAATATGTACTACGCGATGGAACGTGAGGCGACATTAGTGAAGAAGAAAGGCAAAAGAAGAGGAGAAAAGAGGAGAGGAGAGGAGAGGGAGAAGAGAAGAAAAGCTCGACCCAGTTTTCCGCGACGGCTTGGCCGTCCTCTCTTCCGGGGACACGCGATTTGTCGTAGCTTTAACTTAACTCCCGAGTCGTCGAACCGATTTATCAAACGGCTGTGATCACAGTCACGAGTCACGATTATTTAACTCATTTGAAAATTCCTTCTCAAAGAACTTTTTCAAAGGTTTAAGGGACTACAGATGTGTTCTCGTCTTTCTTTCTTTGGAGTTTGCTTTAAGAAATTAATTTCGAGAGGAATCTTCTTGATATATTTTTTACAGAGTGTTTAGCGCGGCTAATATTATGTAAAAGATAAATAATTAAATGTATAAAATAAGAAGTAAAAGATAAATAATTCGGAACAGAAAACAGATTTTCAGTTTTTTTATCATTGAATGTTTTTTTTATAGCTTTTATAAAATTTCAACTAATTCTAAATACGAGATACAACTAAAAGTAAAAAATTTTAAAGTAAATCATAAAATAAAATCCGAGATTTTTAGACTTAAAAGGTGCTTGTTTTCTTTCGTCGTAGTTTTAAGCATCTTACAACCCAGAGGATTACATCTTGCAAGATGCTAGATTTGAAAATCAAGAATTTGCTTTGCGAATTGAAATGAAAATAGGGATTTTGAATTGGAATAAAGTTTGCATCAAGGACTTTTCTCGCGTCAATGATCGTTTTAGAATTCATGGGGTTTGCGTGAGGTGGGTCAACATTTCTGATAATCTCGTTCAAATTCGATTTCGTAGTTTTGTCCTAGTTTCACTCGATGTTAGACTTTTGAAAAAATTTCTCAGGTCTTTGCGAGCGTTTTTTCCTTTCCGAACTTTTATGGACTCTTAAAGGTATTAAAGGGTCATGTAAAGGCTGGAAAAATTACACCAACAGCTTCTTTATTTAAGGTAATGATCCTTTATCCGAGTTTTCGGGTAACGGCATTACAACATTTAGGGTAGTTACGGAGTTTTGTTGCAACCGCACATTACTGGGGAACATATTCGACAAATACCCGAATTTGAGAGATGCGGTCAGAAATTTGGTATCGATTTCGAGTCTCGGTTGTGTTCTAGTTTCGCATCGGTGTGAATAACAAAACCGGCGGTAAACTTGTTTACCGAAAACATACTTGGCAACATTCCTGTCCTTGCTGTAAATTCGCATACATTTGAAAACTTTCGTAGTATTGAGAAACTTTTTGCCTTTGAAAGCAATGAGAAATGATTAATAAAGTAAGCAAATTTATCTTTAAATTCAAATTTTTAATTGAGATTTAAAAAAAATCTCAATTAAATTACAACAGCACGAATATGTTTAATCAACAGTATGTATGATTCAATATACAAACTGTTTCTTATAATTAAAAGAAAACTGTTTTCTCAACAAGACTATAAATTATTTGTTGAATCTTTAAGTACCTTTTACAATTTTGCAATAAACCATAAATTTCAACAAAATATGACCCTACATTTTTAAAATAAAAGAAGTCAAAGTTACACTCACATCTGCCTGCAGCATATTATAATGTTCCTCCTTGGCGCAGAGAGACTCCTTGAGCACGGCGATATGCCTCTGATAATCCTGATGTTGCTCCTCGAGCGTCTTCATTTTCGCCGACATCGCCAGCAGCTCCTGGTCTCGTCGCTGTACCTCCGTCCGAAGCTCGTCCAGCTGCGAAAATATTCGTCGTCCAGGCGAGGATCAGTCCCTGCGCTCCGTCCGTGTCGGCGACGACGACGACAACAACAACAGACGACGTAACGACGATGGCGACGAGCGACAAAAGCGTTGGAAACCTCTTGTCGGCTCTTCGCCATGACCGAGCACGACGACGGTGATAACGGTCTGTTTAGGATTGGGCAAAGATACGCGCACAAATGTCTTTTTTTTTTTCAATGCAAAATCTTGGCTGTGAGCTCGTTTTGGAGTCTGATTTAGTAATCTGATTTAGTAATCGATGGCAGCAGAAGCGACAAGACAAAAATATCGAAAACTGTCGAAACAATCGTATAAGTTTTGTTAGCAATCAAGAACTGAATATCTCAGATGTATTTTAAGTCCTTTAGTTCCGAGAGTTATAATTTAAAAAATGGCAAAAAATCTCTGATATAATTGCGACGATACTACGATAACTTTAAAAAAGATGCTTTTTTAATGCTCTTGTATGTACATGTAACACACTTTTCGCGCCTGCATCGTGCCGCATATCTTAAATTATTCCTGATCCAAATTGCGCGCAAAATTGATTTCCGAGCGAACAGCCTTATGGGATATAACCACAGAGTTACCTAATTGCCGTTGGACTTTGACACGAGCCGCTCTTGAGAAAGATCGAGATTATTTTAATTAAAATTACGTCGACGTGGCGCGAGCGCATCGACTCTCTGCAAAAGATTTCCATGTCGAGGATCAAAAATTAAGTTCGCATTGTCGTCCTGCCCCGATTCCATTGCTATTTTTAGTTCATTTATGCGCCTTTCTTGATTCCTGAACGGATTAATGAAAGGAGGCTGACATTCGAGCTATTACGATCATGACCTAATTACGAAGTCAAACAAGAAACTACGTGTGTGCGAGCCAGTTTCGGTCAAACCTAAATTTAAGAACGATTCGATCTCTTTGAACTTTGAGGTCAAATTCGTTATAAAGTTTATTAATGAATCTTTAAGCTTTACAGCACTGATGATTATCACGTTAATTGCGGTTAACTAACTTCCCCTTCTAACTACAACAGCTAAAATTATAATCTAAAGAGGAATGAGGTCTCGGGCTGAGTTAGTTAAACCCGTCGAGTTTGATCGACTCCATTGACCGAACTGACTGCCCCGATCATACATGAACTTTCTTAGCCTTAATTAATTATATCGAGAGAATCTAAATAATGAAAAAGAAATCGAGAGAGAAAAAAACGTCGTCGTCGTACTCGGATAGGATTTGCACGAAGCATGCAGCGTAATCGAGGCCAGCGATACAAAATTACGAACAGTGTTTTTTTTTAGAGAGGGGAGGGTGTAAAAAAAGTGCACATGTATATATATTTATTTATACGTATGGATTGTGCACATTCGTATATAAGTAAATATATATGCACACACGTGTATACACGCACAGCGAAGTGTGGTGGAGACATACGACACAGAGAGACACGTAATCTCACGCGCACGCATCACGGGGGGGCCAGGATAGAGAGATATTCGGGACCTGTCACGTCGACATGTGTCTCTTTTTATTTACGTGTGTACGTACCTACTACGCTCTGGTCTACTCTGGTGTTGCCGGCAGGCCGTGTGATGTGAGACTCGTCGCGACATATCGCCGGGATAACGCCGAGATCTCGCGACGATCTCGAAGCAGAGTCGTGATATATAAACGCAACACAGCTACTACTGGCTAATCACTACGTACGTAAACGCGATGCGAGCGAGTTCGCGATTCCGCGAGGTCCTCCCTGGCGATTGCCCAGCTTCAAAGTTCCGACTTCAAGCCAAAGAAAATGTTGGCTTAATTAGAGAATAATTAACGCATGAAGACTTAAGTTTTTTAATTTCGATTTTAACGTAAGCGAGCTTTGCTTTCTAAAAAAAACTTTCATTTTTAATAATAATTACTGCAACGTATTATTAGTTCTCCAGCACATGTATATGCTCTTTTTTTCAAACAAATATCTTATAGGCTATGTTCGATTTGGCGCTTGCAGCGCTTATAAGCATCATTTATCCTTATTTAACATTTGGTAGACAATAAGGACGAGAGGTGATACTGTGAGCATTGTAAGCGCCAAAGCGAACGCAGCCATAATGTCTATAGAGTTAACATAATAAATCCTTTATCTTGCTCGAAGGTAATTTGAAACGCGCAAAAAAGCATTCCAATTTATTATGAAAATCATCTGATTCGCGCGTAGCAAGGATAGATCGAGGACCTCTGGCATGCGTCACTGGCATACTACATCTAGTCAAGACACCCAGACGAGAAACGAGCGGAACGTTATCGTATTTCTTTTCTCAAACGCGAAGACGTTCGAGAGAAATCTGCGTCTGCATTCGAGAGAGGAAATTCAAGACGCAAACTCGCCCCCGTCCGCCGTCGGCTATCGATTTAATCGACAGCGGCTATCGCCGGGGCATTCACGACGGCGGCAAATATCGCCCCGCGTCGAGCCTCAAAGTCATCGAAGTGACGGAGGGGGATGCGCACTCCCTCGCTTCGACGACGATGACGTCGACGATTATATCTACGATGATTATCTACGGTGTCACTAGGTCGCACACACGCACGCACACGCACACAACGATACTGATCGAATGATGGGGCGGGGGTGAACGAAAGTCCTTCGTTCCTTTCGCTCTTCCGATGGGATGATGGATGAATTTGATTGATGACTTGAGTCTGGGAGAGTAACGGTCTTCCTCTAAGAAATCATTGTCTAAAGACCGGTGTGTAAGGGGGGGTTTCTTTTTTTCTTTTTTTTTTTTTAATGAAAGATGCGTGAAGTGATGATTGCGAGACAGTCGGTCAACGATTCACGCCAGTAGGAAAATAGAGTTTAAGAAAGAGACAGAGACAGAAAGAGATATACAGAGAGTAAACAAGTACAGTGGCTACGGTATACATCGAAACACTCCGTTACGTAATACGGTAATCATGTAGATGGAAACGGAGAGGGAAGGATGGTGGTGGTAGTAGTGGTGGTGGTGGTGGTGGTGGTGGTGGTGGTGGTGGTGATGATGATGGTGGCTCGGAAGAGCTTCTTGGGCGGGTGAAGAATTTCCTTACCTCCTCAGAAAGCTAGAATATTGGGGCACCACGTTTAATAATGCTTCGCTCACCACGAAGGCCGTCCAACTCCGCCGTCCCTCTTCCGAACGAAACGTCCGCCCGTGTTTTATATCTTAGATGTCCCGGAATCTACGACCTTAATTATAATGACAGACTCCTCGGCAAATTCGGAGTCAATTTTTCATACGGGGGAAAATTTCGTAGTAAGCACTTTATCGCAGTTATTTAATATTTATCCGATAACACGGTAATTAAATCTTCAACTACGGCATTGACACACGGCGTTAAGCTCACGTTGATTTAAACGGGCTTTCATTAAGTAAGATTCAAAAATTTATTTTGAAAAGAATTTTTCATTTTTTAATTAACGTTATACAATTTTAATTAAGGAAAAATCAGCCTCGAATTAATCAACAAGTCTGTTGTTAAAATTAAGATCGAAGGTTTTGAGACATATTATAATTCAATATTTTAATTAATAGTAGACTAGTAAGCTTATATCTTTTATCGTAATAAACTAGTATAAGCTTATTACTTTTATCTTAATTCTTGAATCTGTGTTTAATTATATTTTAAAAATATTGTTATGAGGGAATATTATTCAAGGTTACGATATTTTACTATCAATTCATCCGATTGATCAGAAGAGTTCTGCGGAATTGGGGACTGCCATCCATTGCTGACTTATTGCTAACTTAGCTCTATCTTAATTATTAATTTATACCTTAAACTCTATCGGGCAAGAGGTAACATTTATTTTATCTACGAATAACGTGCGATTAAACTCATTATTTTATCTTTTTTTTTTGTCATTTATATTCGATAATGAAAGTGGATGACATGCATTGGAGAGGCGTGTCAATATTAATCTACGTCAATTTCGTTGTCGATTAATGTCCCTCAATTATCGATGCATACACGAAATGAGATCAGATCGTCCTTATGGAACAACACGCAGGACCTATTTTTACATCTAAGCACAAATACTTACTTGAAACTCGTAAATAACTGATAAATAAAATCAATACTTTTAAATACTGATTCTTTTTGCAATAATACTCGCTCATTTTAATTTTAGATTAAATTGCATTCCTTCAACAATCAATCGAAACTAATGTAATATTATATTTTTTATCATGTTAAATTTATAAGGTCTTAGATTTCCCATGAACGCAAACGTTCTCAAGATAGACCCCAAAAACATGTTGGACGTAAATTAAAGGACACCATAGTCATAAAAAACAAAGTACTTTCTTTTGCCTAAGGAAATTTTTCTGACAACGCGACAGTACTCGTAGATAAACTAAATGGACCTCTCCGTCTCTCTGTCGTAGACGAAATGCCGAATTAGCGGGCTCTCCCGATAGGTAATCCGACGTTCGTGGACCATCGCGGACAATGATCGTCATCCCGACGTCCACGTATGTCTTATTCGCCGAACGGGACGAAGGAGCTGACAGCTAGATGACAGATGCAGACTCTCTGCGCGCGCGTGCAGCATGCATATAGCGCCTCGAGAGCGAGGCTGGCGGGATGTCAAAGGGGTTTGGTAATAACAGGGGAGGCGGCATGCATCTCTCTAAATGCCAACACCAATCGGTCTCTTTCTATGGACGAGGGGAAGAGAGGGTGATAAAGAAATAAAGGAGATAACGCAAGAGAGGGTTTACGAAACAATGACGGCGGGCAATTTTTTTTTCATATACTTGCCGATGGCGAGCGCGGGGCGAGTCGCGCGTCTCACCGCGCGATCGCCCTCGCGTTGAAACGGCGCGCTCTCTCGGCGCGGCCACCTTTTCAGATCCTCGCGTAATCGACGACGATCCTCGATGATCGAAACGATCATACGATATACCGCGAGCGAAGAGATGAGACGGGAAACGATGACGCGG